ACTTAGCACAGGCAAGGGTTGTAATGAGCATTTTATTGGGATTACTATTAGTTGTAAGTTAACTAATTTAATATAACTTAATTAGAGTTAAAAACTGTCATTATTTTGTAAAACAAAGTTTATCCTGTGATACTTTCTCAGAATGAACTACATGTCTTTGGCAAAAATGAACTTTATAAATATTTTAATACTCAGTGATGAGATACAAAAACTAACCATTCATGGGCTGGCCAGATAGCTCAGTGGATTAGGGCGCCTGCTCAGGCAAGCACAGGAACCAGGGTTCAATCCCTGGTGTGCTGTGCCAACCCTGCCCCCAGGGCATGCTGAGACTGGGCATGGTGGCATGTGCCAATAATCCCAGTGCTTGAGAGGCTGAAAACAGGAGGATCACTATGAGTCTTACCTGTGTAGTGAGACCCTGTGCTAAATCCATTTTTTTAAAAAGACAAAAACTAACCATGAGCTCAGGACCCTGCACTTGCCAGGCAAGCGCTTATTCTACTGAGCCATCTCCCCAGCCCCCTGAAAGCTGTCTTTTGAAGGACTGCAGCTCTGTCAGCCTTCACCCATCTCTCCCGCCTTCTGTTTTCCTTGCAGCGCAGGGATTGGCAGAACGGGCTGCTTTATTGCCACGACCATTGGTTGCCAGCAGCTGAAAGAAGAAGGAGTGGTCGATGTGCTGAGCATAGTGTGCCAGCTCCGTGTGGACAGGTCAGTGGCCGGGAGATGGTGCACACACTGGGCACAGTGCTATTTGTCACAGCTTGATCTGATCTGCTGACTTCATAAACATCCATGGTTCTGTGGTCCGAATCTCTACACAGACTCCTTAAAGACACTAAACAGTATGCATTACATTACAAAAGCATTGAAGAAAGTGTTATTTATCACCAACCATCAAAAGCCCAGATACCAAAATGTATGTTTAATCTTCCCTCATCCCTAAAAGAAGTTATTTTTTAAACATTTTTTTATTTAGTGTGTGTGTGTGTTTGTGTGTGTGTGTGGCCAGCTCAGCCCACCAGGGGGCGGGGCTGGCTGGCATGTGGTGCTGGGGGATTGAACCGCGGTCCCTGTGCTTTGCCAAGCTTGTTCCAAGTAGGTGCTTTAGACCACCGAGCCATCTCACCAGCCCAACAGGTTATTTATTGGGACCTGCATTCCTATCCCTTTATATATAATTCACATTCCTATTGGGCTCAATTGAATCATTTGTTTTAGTTTACATCTTTTCAAATGAGGCCTATGTGCTATTACAAAAAGTTCCTTCTTTGAATATTTTTTTTAAATTCTGGTAAAATGCACAAAACAAAACTCTTCACCCTAACCATTTTAAGTACGCAGTTCAGTAGTAAGTACATTCAGGGAGCTGTACAGCCAATCCTCAGAACTTTTTTCATTTTACAAAACTCTGTACCCAATAGACAACTCCCCGTCTTCTTGCAGCCCAGCATTTGACAACCAGTACTGTACTTTTGTCTCTATGAAGCTGATAATTCTAGGTATCTTTAGGCACAGGATCATTCTGGACATGTCTTTTCCCCTGTCTTATTTCACTCAGCATAGCATCTTCAAGCTATATCTATGCTGTAACATGTGTGAGAACACCTTTCCTTTCCAAATCTGAGCACTACTCTATTGTATATAAACCTCATATTGTCTGTCATCTGTCAGTGGACATGGCTGCTTCTACCTTAGAGCTATTGTGAACAACGCAGTTATAAACATGGGTGTGCAAATACTTGTTTAAGGACTTCCTTTCAATTTGGGGATGGGTGGACTGGCCAAATAGCTCAGTGGATTAAAGTGCCTTTAAGCAGGCCCAGGGGCCAGGGTTCAATCCCTAGGCCTGCTGTGCCAGCCTCACCCCGGGGCATGCTGAAAGGGCAATTGAGACTGGGCATGATGGCGTGTGCCTGTAATCCCAGCTCTTGAGAGGCTGTAAACAGATGGATCACTATGAGTCCGATCTAGTAGTGAGACCCTGAACACCCTGTAGCCCTTCCCTAAAATTTAAAAAAAAAATTGGGGGGTGGGTATAGTATGTACCCAAAAGTGGCATTCCTAGTTCCTATGGTAATTCTTTTTTTTTTTTTTTTTGAGGAGCAGTTACACTGTCTTCCGTGGTAGGTGCACCACTTTACACTTCTATCAGTGGTTTCATGAGGCTTTTAATTTCTCTGTATCTTTAACCAAAATATTAATTATATGCTTTTTCTTTTTAAGTACTTATTCCAGCAGGTAGGAGGTGGAAATGTCATTTATGTGTTTAGATGGCTTGGCCATTGCTCTACCACTAAGCCTCCGTGTATGGATAGAAATTAGTCAGGATTGGAGGAAGGAAGCATAGTTCTTGAGAGTGGTCAGAGGAAAGACAAGCAGCATCCTCCTGTCCACAATGCAGCATGCTATGGGCAAGAACACACGTTCTGAAAGCTGGAAAGACTGGCCTCTCTTTGGCCTTGCTCAGTGTTTATTCCTCACCGCCTGCCCTCAGTGTTGCTCTCTGTGCCATCCGTACAGCCTTAACGAGACAGCGAGGCTACCTGCTGTCCTGGAATCAACAGCCTAATGGACACAAATAGCAGAAAAGCTGAGAAATATCCAAGATGGTTTCAAAAAGGAATAAATACCATCACATAGTAAAAGAAAGAGGGGCATGGGAGTGGAGTCCCCTGCCCTAGAGTTCAATGACTTTGAGTTCCCAAGATGCAAAATCGTACAGTTATCTGTTAAGATACACTCAGAAAATACTTATTAAATGCCTATTGTGTGCTGCATGTTTAGAACTTCAATAAAAGAAACAAAAGAATTGTTCTAAAAATTCAATGAGATGATTTAGAGCAGGTTCTGGCCCATGGTTAGCATTCAATACATGCCAGCTATATTAGCCTCTGGAGCCGGGTTGCCTGAGCTTGCTTCTTAACTTATAGCACTTTCTGCTTGTGTACCCTTGGGTGAGGTACTAGAGTTCTGTGTCCGGATATTCTTATCTGGAAAATGGATATCATTTATGTACATATATATATATACATGTATATATATATATGTATATACAAAATAGCATAGATATACAGCTACTTTTTCTTAGTTCAGTGAGAAGAAAGTTTCAGACTAATAGCATTTAGACAACATATTATGTCTACATTTTGTACTACGAAGAGCTACTACAAATAAAACAATATGCAATGTATTAATTATTGTGGCTGTCCTACTACCCTTTTTGGAAACTATCTCATTGCTACTTCTTTCTCAATAAAATTATTTTAAAAATCTTGTTGTAAGGATTGAAAGAGAGAATCTATGTAAAGTGACTGGCGCATAATTTATATTCAATGAAGTTTAACCAGTTACCAATATAGATAACAAGTGATAGGACATAGTGTCTGAGGCAGATGAAACTGTAAACCTTCCAAGACGGACTATTTCTATTCATTCTGCAAACTGGGCACACTAATAGAGATTAGGTTAGATATAGATATGGATATAGACATGGACACATATAGATAGTGTTACAGTAACATGTAAATAATATTAAATCTGTCATGTACTTAAAACAGTTCAAGTACATTTCTTACCCTCTCTACTTCCTCTTTTACCTGCCACATGTAACTGTTACCAACCATGTTTTTTTCTGTACATAAGAAAATCAGTTCAAATTATCCCTCCTCCTTCTTTTAGACTTGTGGTGGTCTTGTACAATCTCCTAGTCATCCATCCACTAATGTCCCCCCAAGCTGAACTAGGTCCTCCAGATTTCATGACCTATTTCTACCCAGAAGAGTGTTCCTCAGTCAGAGGGTGACAACCAGTAGCCAGTGAGCCCAAAGCTGTTCCCCCACCAACCTATCTCTCATCCTGTTATGTCTGAAGTAGGACCTGCATTTCTCTGGGCCTCCAACCCACCCTGTTTTCTACTACCTAATGCCAAAATTCTATGAACACTGCATAAAGTATGTGGGTCTGAGCTGAGTCGAAACCAGCTTGGCCTTGGGTTACATCTGTCCTGATGCTATTTGGAGCAACATACAAAGACATAGGCTTGCTTTCCTCTCTGCTTTGGCTCTTGTTACTGTCCATTGTCACCTCCCAAGCCCCTCCCCCTCCCATCGCCTGACCTCCACCTTGGGCTCCTCTTTCTAGTACATCTCTCTGTCCAGTTCACCCAATCGGCCTTTGGTTTTGAGTAGAAAAACAAACACATTTTTAAGCCCTATCACAATGCCTCCTCTATCTACTTCTTCCTTCCTAAAGCAAATGGTCAGAAATTTTGGCCTTGGCCTTCCATCCCACCAAGGTTTTCCCACAGTGCTTGTCTTTGCACTCCTGATAGGATCTTCAAAACATGCATTCCTCTGCTGATCTGCAGCCTATAGTATCCCCATCCCCTGGATTTGAATTACTGCCAATATGTGTGTTGAAATCATCCTAACTGATTTGTTAATCAAGACCTGTCCCACATAAATTCTTCCTGAGCAGCTGCATCTGTTGTTTACGAAACAGACGCTCTCCTACATATTTTCCTTGGAAGGTCTTTCCTTCAGCTTCCTTCCTTCACAAGGCCTAACAGAGATTTTCTTCCTCTTGTCGCTTTCTTCAATTGAATGCTCTCCTGATGACTATGAAAAGCAAATCAAAGAAACCTTTCTCCTTTCCTTCACCTCATCTTACTTCCTTCTCTCCCTCATCTTTCTGGATTCTTGTTCCACATCAGCTATCTCTTGACACATTTTATTTTTTAAATTGCAATTCATAGCTGACCATTGTTATTGTCCTTTACTCAGGCCATTCAAGGAAAAACAAATCTCAGAAACCCAGATGGCTGTTTCTCTTCTCTTATGGTACATCTTTTTTCATCTGTTCTCCAAAGCCTGTTTCCATATTTGGATTTTATTGGCCATCCTCCCCTTCTGCTATGGATCTGTTGTCTACATTCTAGTCTGCATTATTCAAAACACAAAAAGACTGTATCTAATCATAAATTTCCACCATGGCCTTCAGTGAATACCTCTTATGTAACTCCTAAAATAAATCCAAGATTAGGGAAAGATTTATTCTTTGGCCTCAGTTTTTAAAATGAGAAAACAAAGAATTAAAGTGGTGAAATAAACCTATTTATAATTCAACCCTTCTGATCTCTAACTATGGCTATTAGAAAGACAAGTAAAGAGGATCTTGTAGTGCTTGTTGTGAAATTGATTGACAAAAGTGTATCTCTTGGATAGTATCTCTGCCAATGAAAAGAATACAGTGACAGCAAAACACCATAATTTTAAACAATATTTAGTGTGAATGAGGTCTGTTTTATGAATAGATGGATTGAGAGTATCGGCTGTTTCCTGAATAACACAATTTGAGCAACACAAGAAAATTGTTTTATCTCAAGATATCTGTCTAGAGAAGGTGCCTGAAGTGTCTGGGTGTATTGTATGTCTGCTCTTTCACAGTTCATCTGTAGCTAGAAGAATCATTTCTTTTTGAAGGTCATTCAACCTTGGGATAGGAGGTAAAGGTAACACTATATCACCATGACGATTGGTTCTTTAAAGGAGGTGACGTTCTCTTTCCAATACAATAGTTAGTGAGGTTGTAACTCTGCATCTTATAAGTGTATTCTGAACTTGGATTATGATGCAGGGGGTGGGAAAGAGTGTTCCACACACTATGCACACCCTGATGAGGCCCATAGCCAAGGAGACTGGCCGACAAGC